CAACCTGCCCTTTGCCTCTTATTTAAGGCTCCTTAGCTGGTATTTCTGGTCCCTTCATGCCTCCATTTACTCTTTTCCAGGGTCTTCTTGGGTTCCCTAAATTCTCTGCTATAGTTAGATGCCACGACACAGCGAGTCCACCACTCTTTTTACTACATCCCTAGCTCCCTTGATTTATTGTTGTTTTCTTTGCATGTATCTGACAAAAATCCAATTGTGAACCAGTCACTTTCTCTATGTTTGCTTTCTACCTGCTTCCACAGGGCTGATGGAAGTCAGGATGAGTAAAATCCAGAGCTAGGCAGATTGGTGTTTTAAAGCCCTGGTTCTTTTTTTTTTTTAACATTTTATTAGGGGCTCATACAACTGTTTTCCCAATCCATACACACATTAATTGTGTAAAGCGCTTTTGTACATCGTTTCTCAAAACATTTTCTCTCCTTTTAAACCCCCGACATTAGGTCCTCATTTTTCCCCTCCCTCCCCGCTCCCCCCTCCCGCATGAGCCCTTGATACCATGGTTCTTAAAGTGTAGTACCCGGCAGCACCAGTATGATGTGAGAATTACTTAGATACGCAAAATCTTGGATGCTGTGAGCTAAATCAGAAACTTGAAGAATGAGACCTAGAAATCTGTGTTTGAACAAGTCTTCGTAATTCTGATGCACACCGAAGTCTTCAAACACACTGCTTTATTAGTTAGTATGTGGCCTCTAAACTCAACTGCCTATCAACATTAGCTAATATGTTTTCTACAGGAGCGGCCTTTTATATTTTTCACTTGAGCTTCTTCAAGTAGTCTTCATTTGACTCAACTCTGTGATTATGCCTATTCCTCTTCATCTCTAAAGGTGATCATCCCTCTGAAGGTTTGTAGTTTCTGCTTGAACTGCCTCAAATCCTGCCTCCAAATCTCCACGTCTGCTGCAGTTTAAGGGCACGCCTCTTCTTTTCTCAGCCTGTCTGTGCACCTTGCTCCAGATTTCTTCCCCATTAGCTTGTGGAGCTTTTCTTCCTTGTCACTCCTATCATTTCCACCTGTACTATCACAACTTACATTTACATACTCGGGAATTTGGATCTGTTGACAGGATTGATGAGATGAAAAATAACCAAAGATACACTTTACAGGCTTTTTGGTTTACTTTATTTTTATTTCAGCAGTTGTGTGAGTGGTGACGTTGGCTAGTAGAATGAGGAGACTGAGAAAGGAATAAGATGGCTAGAAAAAAAAAATCAAGAATGTTTCTGACTGTGTTAAGTTTTGCTTGCTTATTGGAGATGCATGTAGAGATGCAGTCTATCTAACTCTGGACTTGAGTGCATAGAGAACATTTAAAGTTATGGAGTAGGGCAAGGTCACCTTTGGAAACCATGTAGATAGGACGAGAAACTGGCTTTCGTACTTCAGTGTTGAAAGTGGGAGTGTGGAGTTTTGAGCACAGGAAATCAAGAGGGAGAAATGGGTGAAGTAAGAGAATTTCTCAGTGGAAGGAAGTGGTCAGTATTACCAAATTCTGCTGAAAGGTCATACAATAAGAATAAAGAGATAGCTATTGGAAATAGAAGCAGAGATGCCTGGGGACTTCCACAGGAGCAGTACCAAGGGAATAGTGAAAACAGCAGGGCCGGGATGGGTTGAGGAGAGTACGTTGTCCAATTAAAGTCCTTCTTAAGGAGAGAGTTGGAAATCCTTCATGCTACTCCTTGCTTAATACCCAAACCAAGCCAAGTCCACTTGTGTACACTTAAGTGCCTCACAGGGGAGACAGAGTAGAGCGGTCCATGGAGTTCGTGAAGCCATCCATCTTTCTGGAAATGGATGGCTGCAGCAGCTCTCACAGAATGGCTGGTCAGGACGGGGGAGGAGGAGAGACTGGAGCACATCCTGACCCACTAGGCCAAACAGAGCAGCCAGTCCACAGAGAGGAC